TTGTGGAACCCGAAACCATGCTTAGACACCTTTCAACGTAATTAACGACAACACATAGACAATTAACGGATCAAATACGATAGACGAACGGCACATAACCTAACATGTTTTTCTAATCACAATCAACACCCAAACATGCGATTCCCCACCCGATAATCCAAGAATCAAAGCGTGCGGTACAACCTAGGGTTCTAATCACTTTTATATCAGCAAGAATACGATTCGTCTTCCAATTGTAAGATTCGGTAGGAACAACACATAATCATCAAGGATAGCAATTAATCATCAAGAACATCATAATCATCAAGAACAACACATAATCATCAAGAATCCCAATTAATCATCAAGAACATCGCAATTATCAAGAAACTCCCAATATCAAGATTATCAAGATTCCCCATGGAATCATTAAATCAACATCAATAATAATCATAGTAATTCGCCATTCACAATCATACGGGGGAAACTCTAAGGGGAAATCATAGCTATGAAAATAGGTTTTGTTGAGACATGGGTTACCTCTTAGCCTTAATTAGTTCCTTGGCTATGAAGGGTCTTTCTTTAAGCTTTCTTGCTTTCTTCTAAGGGAATTCTTGGAGCTCTCTTGGGGAGGTGGGGCGTTTAGGCGTGTGGGAAGTTCTAGGTGTCTCCTAAGTCCCTTATTTATATATTTAGGAGTCCTAATTAGGAAGTAATACTATAGGCTTGCTAATTCTATTTCTTTCGGAACTAAGGATTGGGTTTAGGGGTTGGGTTTATATATGAGGGCCCATGGACTACGGTGGGCCTTTTTCCCTAATTGATCATTATGATTTATTCCTTCTCTTGGGCTTATTGATTGATTAATTAAATGGTTTTAGGGGCCGTAACACGGGGTGTTACGAAAATGGATTGCAGCAATTGGAGATGGGACTATTGGAGGTCAAAATGATGGTTCTGTGGAAGTTGATATCCAACCCGACATGTTATTGTCCACGAATGGGGATCTCATTGCCACTATTGTTGAAAACACTTTCCCGATGTTTACAAGTGACAACGCCGATAACAATTTTTTTAGAAAATCGTGTTATTCTGGCCCCAACTCTAGATGTAGTTAACGCGATCAACCAGTACATGAGCGACATCCATTGCATGTTGCCGAGAGCAAGACATATTTAAGTTGCGATATGGTCTGTAGGTCTGAGTCCAGCGAGGGACTTTTGGCCGATATACACACCCCTGAATTCATTAATGGCATACGAGCTTCTGGCACACCTAAACACTCTTTAACGTTAAAGGTTGGCTCACCTGTGATGCTACTGAGAAATATAGATCACCCCCTCAGGTTGTGCAATGGTACTAGATTGATAGTCACTAAGTTGGCAGAACATGTCATAGAAGCAAAAATATCAACAGGTGACCATGCAGTTAATAGGGTGTTGGTTCCTCGAATGTCTATGACTCCTTCAGATACAAGATTGCCATTTAAGTTTAAAAGAAAACAATTCCCATTAATGCTGTCATATGCAATGACTATAAACAAAAGCCAGGGCAGACGTTATCCCATGTTGGATTGCTACTCAAGAAGCCAGTTTTTGTACACGGATAATTATATGTAGCCGCATCTAGGGTGAGCAATCCTAAAGGGTTAAAAATTTTGATTTGTAATGAGTTAGGCAATAGTTGTAATTCAACCACCAATGTTGTTTACAAAGAGGTATTTAACAATTTGTGATTTCAAATTTTTTAGGATGTATTAGACCAATAACAATCGTTATTGTTAAGTAGTGTGGTTTTTCCTATTTCTTAAATCCAAAGTAATGCTTAGTTGAAAAAAATGGTTATCTTACAATACAACAAACATATTTTCATTAATGGTAAATTGTGGTCCCGTGCATCGCACGGGTATCATACTAGTTAAACAAAATTCTCACTATGTGTTTTAATTTTATTTTGGCAATTTATATCGTGGACCAGGGTTCACAGTGGTCTAATACACAGAATTTGATTTTATAAGATACAGAATTTATATTCATAATGCACAGAATTCATGTTCATCATATCGTATTTATGTGTATTGTGTATTATAAACATAAAGTTTGTGCTTTATAAATATGAATTTTGTATATTTTACCAAAGTTTACAATGCAGACCAAATGGTCCACGATATAAATGAATTAATGATAGAACTGTTTAAGTGCGTGAGCGAATGCAAAACATCACATCGCTTGCGTCATAGTCTAGTAGACTCGTATAGTAGGTAGGTACCGTTCATTGTTGAATATGGACTATGGTAGGGGTGTTCATTCGGTTAATCGTTCGGTTAACCGAACCGAATTAATCGAAATTTTTTTTGCCTTAATCGTTAACCGAACCGAAAATTGATCTACCGAATTAATCGAACCGAACTTTTTTTCAGTTAATCGGTCGGTTAACCAATTAACCGAAATTTTTAACCCTAAAATTGAAAATGCTAAAAATAACTCCTAAAATAATAAATTCAATTAAAATAAAATAGATATCATAATAAATTCATATCAAAACATACAAAAACAATACCATAAGTCCATAATCCATTTGACTATTTGGGATTTAAGTACATATTATATATTTATATTTAATATTTAATATATTATATATATATTCCAAAATTCGGTTAACCAATCGGTTAATTCGGGTAACCGACACTTTCGAACCGAATTAACCGTTAACCGAATTTTGGGAAAACCTTTAACCATTCTCCGAACCGAAATATTTCGGTTAAAAAACGGTTAACCGAATTACGTCGGTTCAGTCGGTTAACCGAAATTTCTCCGAAATTTGCACACCCCTAAACTATGGAGGACTCGGTAGAAGGAAAGCAAATTCCAGAAATTGACGGTTCATGACTTAATGGGAATTAAATAAATTAATTAAGGAAAATGATAAATGACTTCAATTAAATAAAATTCTCACTATGTGTTTTAATTTTATTTAGGCAATTTATATCGTGGACCAGGGTTCACAGTGGTCTAATACACAGAATTTGATTTTATAAGATACAGAATTTATGTTCATAATACACAGAATTCATGTTTATTATATCGTATTTATGTGTACGTATATTATGAACATAAAGTTTGTATTTTATAAATATGAATTTTGTATATTTTACCAAAGTTTAGTAGTTTACAATGCACTATAGATCAAATGGTCCACGATATAAATGAAGTAATGATAGAACTGTTTAAGTGCGTGAGCGAATGCAAAACGTCACATTGCTTGCGTCATAGTCTAGTAGACTCGTATAGTAGGTAGGTACCGTTCATTGTTGAATATGGACTACTAGGTATATGGATAACCCTTCATGTGTTTTTTGCACTTTTAGTTCCACGATTACAGTGGCATTGACAGAATTGATCCACGACTTTTGAACCTTGCAATTTTAATCTATGACTATTAATTTTTTTACAAAAATGGTCCTTCCGGCCATTTTTCGGTCAAAATTTCACCGAAAAAAAAAGTCTCTATTTTTAGTCAGGTTAAAATTGACATTTTACTTATCTCAAAAAATTAAAAGAAAAAAATAGATATTTGACTACATACAATATTACTGGACTACATACTACTGCCCCAGGCGGCGGAGTACATGTACCACTCCAATGCTGCTGCCGGATAACCCAACTAGTCCGGGGAACGCCACGGCCACTCCGCCGCTTACTGACAGCCCTGCCTGCTCCAGGAACTCCGCCGCCTGGGGCAGTAGTATGTAACCCAGTAATATTGTATGTAGTCAAATATCAACTTTTTTCTTTTAATTTTTTGAGATAAGTAAAATGTCAATTTTAACCCGGCTAAAAATAGAGAATTTTTTTTTTCCGGTGAAATTTTAACAGAAAAGTGGCCGGAAGGAACATTTTTATAAAAAAAATCAATAGTCGTGGACTAAAATTACAAAGTTCAAAAGTCGTGGATCAATTCTGCCAGTATCACTATAGTTGTGGGACTAAAAGTGCAAAAAACTCATTAATGATAGAACTGTTTAAGGGCGTGAGCGAATGCAAAACATCACATTGCTTGCGTCATAGTCTACTCGTATAGTGGATAGGTACCGTTCATTGTTGAATATGGACTACCAGGTAGAAGGAAAGCAAATTCCAGAAATTGACCTCAGCCAGCGGTTCCTGACTTAATGGGAATTAAATAAATTAATTAAGGAAAAAGATAAATGATTTCAATTAAATAAAATTCTCACTATGTGTTTTAATTTTATTGAAGAAAGAAAAAAATAAAATAATAAAAACTGCGACTCACATCTTTTTGAATGAATTAAAATGGATTATATAAATGAATAGTAAAAAGTGAAAATATGTATTGAACTACTCATTAATTAATTGGCATGGAAAATTATAATTTTATTTAATTTAATTATGACTTCAAGGCCAAATTGAAGAATACACACTTATATATAACGGAATAATATATATATATATATATATATATATATATATATATAATGTAGTATCTGGACCTATGTTCATATACTCACGCCTCCACTGAGGCTCGAACTCACAATTTTTCAAATGAAAGTCCAATCTTCCAAATAGAAGTCCAACCCAGATACCATTAGACCACATAGTCCTGGTAAGCAGACCTCGGACCCTCAACGAGGCTTACTCTAGTGCCGCAAATCTCTATCGAATTCAACTACTACAACGCGGGGTTCAAGAACAGATACGAAAGAGAAACACCGGAGGTGGAACGCCACCCGTAAAAAGGACAAGAAACGACACCAACACAACAACCTGGAGTCAAAGGCCACCCTAGGAAGCAACCTGGTTAGTCAAAGGCCACAGCTAGAAAGCAACCAAGCTAACACAACAAGCTTCCCTTGCCCAAAATGCAACAACTATATATATATATATATATATATATATATATATGGCGATCTATATATACAGAGAGAGAGACAGAGAGAGAGAGACAGAGGGAGAGTGAGTAGAAGATCGAATTGAAGTAATTTTTAAAGTAGGTAGGGTAGGATGGAAGATGGTGTGGTGGAAGTGCGAGTAGAGAGGATTGGATCATGGAGAATAGCTCCAGTGATCGAGGAGGCGTTTGGAGGTATTACCGTGGAAGGAACTTCATCTTTGCAGAGAGACCAGTCCTACAAGCAGTTGAATGATCGACTAGATTTGTGCCTTCCCATTACCGAATCCAGAAATGGCAACTTTTTCAGCATCACCTCACATATGCTCTCCTCTGGAATTGGACTCCAGGCCCTCCTTCTCCCAGTTGCATTCACTTCCCTTGGTTGGTATGTATATATGTATATATGTCCCTCACCATTTATACATATACTATATATAGATCAGATGGAGTAATTATAAAAGAATGACTCCTTTTTCAGTTTAATATTAACAGAGGAATTGAAGATCCAAGCTAGCTATGTAGGGTTGACTCTGACTGCTGTCAATGTTTTATGGTCTTTTAATTATTATTATTTCTTACATATATATATATATATATATATATATATATATATATATATATATATATATATATATATATATATATATATATATATATGTGCGTTAATGTTGCAAGCAGGGTTTGGGGTATTATCTGTCTATCGTTGCTATTTGTATGGCAACTGTATACCATATGGTTGTTGGTGGATCTTCACGTATCGACGACCACAGGGACTCGCTACAGCAGATACCTCGATCTCGCAATTGTAGCTTTTGGTTAGTAAAAATTAAAAAAATAGATGCATGTTTGGTAAAATAGTTTGTCTATTAATTAATTTTGACTTATGACCGCTATTAATTATTTGACTTGATTAAAAAATCAATATAAATGTTTTGTTAATGAGCTTTTTGTAATTCTAAAATGTTAAAATTCAAAAAACTGTTTAAAGCAACTTTTTCAATTAGCTTTTTGAAAAAAGAAATTATATCAAACAGCTTGTTGGAAAAAATAGCTTAAAATGACATAAAATGGCATGTTAAGTGGCTATTTTGTGGTACAATTATCAGGGATGTTCACTTCCGATTTGAGTCGGGTCAAAGTGAATTCAGATTCTTCGTAGTGAGACGAAGAGATTGAAATATTGTACGTTCAAAACGGATAATGGGTGAATGAGATATTGATTCTCAAAGTAGACCCATTTGAGTTGAAAAATGAAGGGAAAAAGTGAGGTTTTGTCTCACATTGATTTGGAAAGAAGATTTGACCTCCCTTTTATACCAGAGCTCTTTTGGAGCTTGTAGAATTGTATAACATAGAGGCTCCCTCGCCCCGGGGGAATGGGGGTGCAAATCAAATTTCAACTAGAAACGAGAGCGAAAATGCTTGATTCAAGTCTGAGCTCGTGTGCGAACACCAAACACTAGCCAAATTCTTCATCTTTCCTCTCCTTATTTTCCAGAAAAATAATAATCTTATTTATTGATTATTATTTATATTATTTATTTTCACCAACTGAGTTCCAAACACAGCTAACTAACAGTTAATTTACTAAACAACTTTCTACAATCAGCTACTAATGTTATCATTAAATTATACTTTCTAACCCAATCAGCTAACAATCATTAGTGCAGTAGGTACAATTATATATATATATTCGAATTATGATTGAATATTAATGGCCGGATTGATCTGGCCCCGCGCATGGCTGGCAGGTGAAAAAATGGGCAAGTTGGCAGCTATGTTACCAACGATGTATTTGTCGGGAGGGGCGTGCGAGTTGCTAATAATCAACGGGGGAGGGAGCCTTCAGCTCTTCTACGAAACCATGTGCGGAGGTGATCCTAAATGCCATGACAAAGGACTTACTGGCACTGAATGGTTCTTGGTGTTTGTTTGCATTGCCATCTTCATGGCCCTCTTCTTTCCCAACTTGAATTCCTTGGCTTGGATTTCTCTCGTCGGTGCAGTCACGGGTATTGCCTACTGCACTATACTCTGGACTTTATCTGTTAGCAAAGGCAGGCCGCTGCAAGGAGTTACCTACGATCCACCTCAGTTATCTACTTCAAAGGTGGACAGGTTCCGGGACATCGCAAACGCTCTTGCGGTCATCTCCCTTGCATTTAGAGGTCACAATGTCATCCTAGAGATACAGGTGCGTACTATACATGCCGGCCTACATACGGTGATCCATGAAATAAATATATAATATATATAATAAATAGCTATATATGGCTGATCGATATGATCGATCTGACTTGTTAAATTATTGCTAACAACTAACTTACCTGCAGGGGACATTGCCTACAAATCCAAATGTTTCATTGCGCCGCCGCATGTGGAGAGGGGTAATTGCATCATATCTAATTATAGCATTATGTCATTTTCCACTAGCCATTGCGGGATATTGGGCTTATGGCAACCTGGTAATTAATTATATACTCCATCCTGGTATATTATGACATTTTTTTTATAAGTCCATTTTAAATTTTGTTGTATGATTCAATTAACTAATTTTATATATATAAAAGATTCAATGAGTAAAGTTTATATGCATAATACACCGTATCTCATGTATACAGATGCCGACATCGTATCAAAAAGGAGGAATATTAAATGCATTTGTAAAGTTCCACCAACATGATGTATCGAAAACCTTAATGGGTGCAATATACATGATCATCGTCATTGCCTGCTTGTGCACCTACCAAATCTACTCATTGTTGGCGTTGGACAGCTGGGAAAGAATATACTTGTGGATTATAAAGAAGAGTAGCAGCGCTAAGTGGGAGCGAATAGGTCTCAAAATTTTGTTGGGCGGATTTACCTACTTACTATCAGTAGCTTTACCGTTCATGGGAAGTTCGGTAGGCTTCGTCGGCTCCATCGCAATGCCAGTTACTTTGGCTTATCCGTGTTTTATGTGGATTGTCATGAAAAAACCTCGTCCTTACAGCTTAGTGTGGTGCGTCAACATGGGCTTAGGTTGTTTCGGCATGTTGATGTGTACAGTATTGGCGACTGCAACATTGTGGGATTTGATAGCTAATGGCCTCCGCACTAATTTTTTTAATCCTTAATTGAAGCATGCATGCATAACTATTTGAGGACGGAAGATACATTATACTTCTATAAGAGTGAATTTATTATGTTGTGAATAGATGTATCTTGTATTATTAGCTAGATGTATCTTGTATTATTAGCTAACTAGTATTTGCCCTGGTGCGATGCAAGGAATGGATTATTTAAATATTTTAAGAATATTTTGATAGATATATAATTATATAAATTAGTATATCGAATATTAATTATATATGCGTATCGTAATGAGGTCCGATAATTTTGAATAAAGATGTGCTACAAAATCAGTCATAATTAATTTCTTTTGAATCATTCATACGTATTGCAAGAACATTTTCATCTGTAATTACACAATTTTTTTTATAAATTGTGGATATTAAACAATTCTATTCACCTTCAAAAAAAAACAATTCTATTCAATTTTCCATTTGTAAATATATATCTTTACACAACTATATTTCCAGTAACATATATACACACATTTTTTAATATTTCCAGTAACTTTACATTTTATAAAATATATAACCGAGATTAATATTTTTTCCATCTCGCCTAAACTCTTTTTTTTTACATACTCGGCTAAACCTTATAACTCCACAATCTTAATATTCTTAGTATAAAATAACATTATTTGGTGTAAAAATTATTAATTTCCATATCGATTAATATTCTTTCCATCTCGTATTGCAAAACATTTTCCATCTTTAATTACAAAATTTTCCTTATAAATTGTCGATACTAAATGATTCTATTTCATTTTCAATTTTTAAAATATATCTTTACATAACTATATTTCAATAACATATATATACATTTTTTAAAAAAATCACTTGCAGGTACGTGATACGTGAGAAGTACTAAACCCACATAAGTTAGTGAAACAATGAATAGTAACTAGGTTAGAGAATAATCATGCAAATAATTGTACTGCAAGTAAAGTAAAGAGGAAGATAGTGGTTAAGAGGTGGTGCAATCCTCCTAATCCATTCTTCTCCATTCACTCCAAAGAGGGAATTCACTATCTTCAATCATCGAGATACAATAGTGAACCAGTGTTAACCCCGAAGGAATTCTACAACTCCGAGCTACACTCAACTCCCAAGTATTTCAGACAAAACTATAACCCTACACCAACAAATGTCTCGCACAAAGCTACACTCCCCAACGTTTTCACAAACTCCTCTTGTTACTATGCCCTCTTTCTACACCGAGTAAAGATTTCCTTTACAAGAAAATACATGTTTTCTTTTCTCTCCAACTCTCATAGACTTTCAAGTATTATTAGTCACTTTTCTAGATGTTTATATGAAGTAACAGACTTAACAGGTAAGCTCAAGTTAGAATTTTCATGGGTTTATTCCAATGTTGCAAAAAACGTTAGGCGCCCCCTAGACGGCGGCCCCTAGGCGCCGATTTTTTTTATTTTTTTATTTTTTTAATTAAAAATAAAATTAAAAATTAAAATTTTTTAAAATTTAGTAATAAAACATAAGGTTTTCATAGTTATTTCTTAGAAACTATTTACGAAAGTGGTTGTAAAATTGTTCAAAAGATTGTATAAACCATTTAAATACATAAAAAATTAAAATTAAGAGCTAAAGAAGCACTTTTTTGAGAAATTAGTGGACCAAACCGCCTTCGGCAATTTGCGGTGGATAGATCTCGAAAAAATACGCGATTTGAAAAAAAAAAATTGTCCAAAACGGACAACCGAGTCAAAAGTTATACCTTCCCGAAGTTTTCGCAATTTTAAAACGCAAAAAAAAAAAATAAATAAATAAATAAAATAAAATTAATAAAGCGCCGGTTCAGCCGGCTAGGCGGCCGGCCGCGGAGAAGGCCGATTCCGGCCTTCTTCGCGGCGGCGGCCGGGCGTCTAGGCGCGATTTTTGCAACCATGGTTTATTCATTCATCATCAGAGTTTCTCCACAAAACAGGAAAACTAGTGTGTAAATGGTTTACCATTTCAAAAAGTATAGGGATTTCCAGTGGAGTATCTTGGCCAATGAAGTGAGACTAACTAATACAAGATCGAAAATTTCTAATCTAAATAAAGATCAAGAGTGAATTAGAAATGTACCATTTGTATATATGAACAGATGACAAATGGGACTTGATCTTATATGGTATTCATTGGAAGCAAGAGAACACCCTGACTGGAAAGAAAGAGGGATTTCATGCACAAACAGTCAAGTTTAGAAACTAGTCATGGTGTCAGGTTTACTGGGAATGAATTGATGTCTCTGTGATTTAGACATGAAAGTTACCTAGAATACAAGATTGTATATGCAGATCAGAGGTTTAGAATACCCAAGTGAATGAACCTCGTGGCTTCTTGAGATCAGGCAACGAATTTCAAACACCGAGTATCATTGTGGATAGTCCGGCATCGGATTGAACAGAAGCGCATCCCACACTGTACACATGTATAGGGAGCAGAGAATCCACAAACAGTGCAGAAATGGCGACGGCAGGTGGAGCTCGGAGGTCCCGCTGCTGCTCTCAAGTAGGTGGGGACATGGGGAGGCAAGGACTCCAGGTTTGCCTATTAGAAAGTATGCCAAAATCTTAGCTAAGTAGAAATTCAGAATTAACACAGACACATTCCTGTACTGAAACATAGCATCTCATAGCCTTAGAAACCCAGACCTCATTCAAGAGCTCTATGAATGTCTTTGGAGCCTTCTTGTTCTCAAGAGCCTTGGCTTGGCGCGTTTTCCTTTTAGTGCCTTTCGATTGCCTCTTCTGATATACTGCAAAAAATTATATGATAAAGATCAATTTAAGACTAAAAGGTAACCAGCTTGGTTGGCATGAGTGACCGTGAACTCTCATCCCTTAAAGAGGTTGGGAGCTCGAACCTATCATATGAAAAACCAATCTGGCCAACACTTTGCCCCTTAATTAGGCAACCCAGCGCGAATAGGATTAATCTTGAGTATCATACGGGCTTAAAGGTGCTTCCTACAGTTAGAACCTACTCAGGACATCTCGTGGTTTAACCCAAAAAAAATTAAGACTAAAAGGACACAACAGTTAAGCATCACCCAAATCCAAACCACCGCAAAATTTAAGCTCTTAGTTTTCAAGAGAGGAAGTTCTTTAAATTTTACATTTTTTTTAACTCCATAGTCTAAAACGAAATTTAGTTGCAAGAGATACAAGAGGAATAAAAGAAAATTGATTAACATATTAGCATTTAATTTGCTCTGCTATAGAGAAATGAAATTAGCTGCAGAAAACGCTACTTGATCCCAACCTCTTGCACCAAATCAATGTTTAAATTATATAAGGGTGCCTAATTCAGAAGCAGCCATGACACATTACAAGTCATATCAGTTAAACCATGCAAATAATTTTCATTAACATAAGAGAACGAGCATGCAGAAAACACGAGAAAATGAACCTTGATCATCGTCATCAAGAGAGGCTTCATCATCGTCATCAAGTTGCACCGGCTCCGGCACAGCATTGTCACTTTCCAAAGCATCAAGGCGAGCCAAAATTGCCTGTGCCAACAGGACAGTAAAACTAGCTCTGAATACATTCAAATTCAATTTTTTTTTTCAATTCAAAATTGAACTTCCATGTCTTTATTGGCCTTGAATCTATTAAAAAAAAAAAATGCAACAACGTAAAGATCCAGAATTCCAGCCAGACAATTCGACTGAGTCAATAAAAAATACTTACCTGTGACCGATTGTCGGAGCTAGCAAGCGCAGCAGCCATTTTCGGAGCAACCTTACGAGATCTCGTCGACATTCGACGCGCTGAATTTGACGTTTCCTCATCCATCTCTGAAATTTGAGAATCCAAATATGCAAAAAATAAAATTCCACAAAATATAAAGCCATTTCAAGAAGATAGTTCAAAAGAACCATGTTCTTTTGCGAAATTGTAATCCTTATACACAAAAACAATGAAGAGGGAAGGAGAGGAAAGCTACTTGGTTGACATTTGACAGAAGCTAAAGCATTTTGGATGTAAAATTAGGGTTATCAAATGGTGGCACCATCCCATTCTCAGTTTTCTTAAATAATATGTAAAGGTCTTATTTATTTATTTCAAATACCAAGTTTTCTTATTTCACTATGTAACCAGGCACATGGAAACTCATTCCAAAAGAACGTTCTTTTACTCCTCAGTCTAGGTCATTCTGCAGAGGTAATTGCTAGACCGGAAACTAATACTTATCTAACTTATGGAGCACATGATTTTTTTTTTCAGTATACTAATTCCTTTAGATAGCCAAACACTGGATATTCAATTACAGACAGATGACAGATCCAAGTAATTAGGGTAAAATTCGAAGAAAAAAAATTAGGGCAAAAACATTTGTTGAATAAGTTGAAAACTCAAAACTTTGGACAAATAATTGAACAAATTAAGATTTATAGATGGAGTCAAAGAACTACGAACCTGAAGCCTGAGGGTGAAGACGAAGCTGGGCAGCTGGCGATCACGAGAAGGATGAAGCTTGAAGATGAAGCCGGCGAGCCGGCGACTTGTGGTCTGGGGTGACGGTGTCCGGTGGGCGGTGGCAACTGGCGAGGCAGAGGCGAGTAGAGCGTCAGCTGAGTAAATTTTTTTTTGAACCGGGTAACCCGCGATTACCTATTAATACTTTAGCTAAACATAATTAGCTAAACATAATACGAATACGAAACACAAATTGTAAAGTCTAAATGGTGCATGTTATGATCGAAATAGTTGTTTGAATATAGTGAAATTATTAATTTAGGTCAGAAGTAACGAATGTTTGGCGCTAAAATAAATGGAAGATCAAATTAATTAATATTTTCAAAACTGATGATTTAATTAGACACGATAAATTGTTAAGGATCAATTTAATAATTCTGTAATAGTCGAGGAACTATTTCAATAATAAAGATAAGAAAAATTTTAGTTAGCATAATTAGAAAAAAGGGAAACATTATTCAAAATAGTGAAAATAATATTATTTTTCTTTTTTAAATATTAGCTAGTATTCTTTCTATTTATAGTAATTATTACATCTTACACTTTAATATTTTTCAAAAGAGTTAATTTTATTATTTTTAGGCTTAGATGTATATGTGGTAATTTATTTTTAGTCTTTTTTAACAAGATTTACTTTTGATCTTAGTATTATTACTACATGACTATTTAATTTTCTTTTTTTGAATGTTACTACTGACCTTATTACATTGTAGTATATGTTCATATACTTTCTCAACTTACTAAAGTACAAAGGACCAATAACGCCTCCATTGAGGCTCGAACTCATAACCTTCCAAATGAAATCTAACCCGGGTACCATTAGACCACATAGTCTTGGTAACTATTTAATTATCTATTAACAAAACAATTTAAATTTTGTCAAATACAAAAACATTTCAATCTTCAATTTTAATTTAAAAAAAAAAAAACGTACGTACAAAATATAACGGTTCAATCTACTTTGTATAAACATCAAAATATCGTTGTATTTAATAGAATTTTAATTATTTTATTGACGAATAACAAAATACTCATGTCACAATAACATTAGAGTCAATAAGAACGCTTTGATAAAAATGGAATAAAAATAGACTGCAACTATAAATTTAGAACCAAAAGTGGAACTAACTCTTTTTCAAAAAGAGCAAATTTCAATTCAATTTTAATTCTCAATTATTGTAGTATTGTATGCTCTTTTAATTTTAGCATATTGTCACCTTGACTTTCATTTAAATGTCACAAATAGTTTTTCTTTTAAAATTTTGTTATTTAATAATACAGCAAATATGTAATTTACTCATTAATTAAAAGAGTTTACATGAGATCGACAGAAATTACATATTAGGTCAGAGTGTTTAATGACAAAATTATATTTTAATCATATTTATTAAATGATAAAATGACAAACTTATTTGGTTAATAAGTAATAAAGCAAGTAAGGCAGGTCACTTTTATTTACCAGCAAGCAACAAAATGTTGCTCAAATGAAGTAGCTAGCGACCATTATATCTAAACATCATCATATCATCGTACCACACATTTAATTTTGTAAAACTTCATTCTACCTAAACATACATCGTCATAACATTATTTGAGGTGTCACGTTTCATTTATTTCCTTATTAGCTTCTCTCTGTAATTAACAATTTTTATAGCAGTAGCAAAGATGACGCAAGCCGTGGCAGTGTCCCCCAGCAAAACCCTGGCTAAGGCAGCTGCTGTGACACTTGTTCCCCACCACACACACTCCAGTGAACTTCTGGCTCCTATAGTTGCAAAGCCTTGCTTCCACCTTCATTATTGGACCCCCCATATCTGCAACCACACCCAAACTATATAAATATTTTTTAATTTATCTAATCAATTTTCATTAATGAAACACTAAAATTATGAGTCAAACAACTTGTGTAGTCAAACAGCATAACTGTGACTCTCTCAAACTAGAAGTTACTATTGTAACAGAGTTAATAATAGTCAAAAAATCAGTAATTAACATAACTGTGACTCTCCCAATAGTAAAAAGGAAGCTAATTAATGAATGAGAATATGAAAATGAGAGAATTGAATGAACCATTGCTTGAGAGAAGCATCATAATCATGAAGACTACAAGAAGAGGAACATTCATGGAGGGCTTCATCTTTGGGATATATGAGAGATAGAGAAAGGTAGGGAATAATGCAGTAATTGTATGTATGATATGAAAGCTCTGCTGAGACCAACACTATTTATAGGCGAATATGTTGCAATTTAATTTTAATTTGATTAAATTTATCTTTATTTATTCTTTCTTCATATATAGTAGCATGCAATTATAAATATAATTATATTATTTAAATAAGTGTCTGGCCACCACGTGTTAGTCAATTAGTATATCACATGTTAACTAGGTAACATTTAACCTTAGAATTTAATTAAAACTATGTTATATATGCATGCATGTAGTTGTGTTAACGGTTATTCGCTGAACTGTACACACTACACTTGTAGCCATGCCCGAAGAGCATTCATCACAGTATTGACACGTGCCGCCATGCGGCTTTTCAGATTGTCGGTCATCTTATCACTTCCACCGCTTCCAACTAATGGCATCACCCGGTCCAAGTTCATCTACTGTTTGACCAAGTTGCCTAACTCCAACAATTAATTTTAAATTTTTTTTTTTTTTTAAAAAAAAGGAAAGACGACATATTCGTTTAATGAACTATATATAATTTAATATAGATTTAGTTATTTATTTATCTTTTTGTTCTTTTGTTATTAACAAAAAGACGAATTTTTGAAAAACTTTTATTAATATTATATACTAGTTATTACACGCGCATTATGTAAATAATTTGATGTTTAATTTAATGTTTATTTTTAATCTTTTCACTATGCAACATGTTACTAATAGGGTGCAGTGAATGTTGAACTGGATTCAGAAGTGGTTGTCAAGTTGTTGCTCAGAGACACGCTTATGGGTAATGTTTTATCACCTTTGATTGCTGACTGCAAATATCTAATATCCTACATAGGAAGTAAGATGATCATTCATGTATTCTTATACAAACCGAATTAATTACACGAAATAAGTGCGTTAGAACTAATTATAGAAAATGGGCGTTGGTTTTTTTTATTAAAATAAATACCACGGTTTTGAATCATGATTTATACAATTGTGCCATGGTAGATGCCATGAATGGCATACAAACAGAACCAATTAACTCAAACTCTCTACAAACTTGGTCCCGACTCATTCAGGCAACATAGACTAACGCTAAACAAATACCTTAACATTCTTATTTTTAGTAACCAGAAAACTCGTAACCATTACTTAATCAAGAATGTGTGGTCAACTTCGATACTACGTAAGTAATTTAATTAATTAATTAGCATGGTTTGGAGCAGTGACACTGGCGGTTAAAGCCACGGCAGCTGCCGCCTTGGAAGCTCTCAGTCTTGCAAATGGAAGCACAATTTGCGCTGCTTAAGCATATCCCCTTAAACTTCGTGCTCTTAGTCTCGCAGTTCGCAGCTTCACCCATCTCTACAAGTTATATAATAATCCCATCAAAACAACAATAATAGAATAATCTCAGATCAATCAAGTTAGTTAGGCTATCAGTTAGATAACCACAAGCCTTCAAGTTTGCTTCCAACGAGAACGGCTTATTGGCTTGTCTGGTTTCAGTTAGGCAGCTAGATAATCTAAACTGGTTTAATTTATCCTTTCTGGTTTCAATCGGCCAGCTAAACAATTTAAGCTGATCTGATTTACCCTTTGTCAACTAAGGTTACAAGATTGAGTGTACGTCCTTCCTAGTTTCAATCGACCAGCTAAACAATCTAAGCTGATTTATCATATCATTTGCCAACAAACTAAACAATCTAAGCCGATTTATCCTTTGCCAACTAGAGTTACAAGATGGGGTAGATTTATCCGATGCACATCATCTAACTATTGTGGGGTTTTCTCAATCATCCAAAAAATTAAAAAAATAATAATTTCACAATCTTACCAGGTGAAAGAACCAGCATTGACATGAGAAATACAGCGACATACAACTTCAAAGAGCTTGACATTATTTTATTTCTGTCTTTTTTTTTTTTAATTATGTATTTAAGTTTTATTTTTAGCTAGAGATTTATTATATTTATATATAGGAATGAAGGTGAAATGGAACATTTGTGGGTAGCACTATATATATAAGAGTGTGTTTGAAATTTTGTCCATGAGAGTAAATTATCATAAGCCGCACTAAGCGTTGTCCATTCAAATTTTGTCCATGAGAGTAAATTATCAAAAGCCGCACTAAGCGTTGCCCATTAAAAAGTAACAGGAAAACCCATAATTTTAGTTTCACAGTATAAGGTGGCCATTAAATTTTTAGTCAAAACGCAAATTTTACTCTTAAATTCTTAACAGAATTATTCTATCAATATAATTACATTAAATAACATAATTTTTTTGAATATAGATAATTAGCATGCTCAACCGAGTCACCCAATACCATATCAAACCCTATCACATCGTTGCATGATATGGCTTCTAATAAGTATGAAAGATAGTTATTGGTAGGCATGGATAACTCAACTGGTCATAGAGATGAAAGTGAGAAAGAATTATCAGAAATCGAGTTTGCCGAGCAACCTCTCAAAGTGAGGAGGGCTCCTTGTGTGCAATAAGCAAAGGTCTAGCTTCTTTGGTTCGTGTTCAGTTGAATTACCATGATTTACATCCTCCCAGATGCAAGATATTGTACTCACAGGATAGACAAGATCTTTTGACACAAAAAAATAATAGGATATAGATTGATGAATGGCAAAATTATATTATTCAATATTCATAGAGTAAATGCAAGATAAAAGTACATAATAATAATCCAAATCACAACCATCAAACTTCTTAAACACAAATATAATTAAAGACATAACATAATAAGAATTTCATTTTTAGCAGTGTTTAGTGCAGAAGCAGCGGCGGCGGAAGCCGCGGCAGTGGCCGGCGTGAAAGCCCTCAGTCTGGCAAACGGAACCACAGTTGTGGTCGCTGAAGCATAGCCCCTTGAACTTGTGGCTCTTAGACTCGCATTTCCTTGCTTCAGCCACCCTCATTGTACCCATCTCTGCATATTATTTATATATATATAATTCCATTGAAATAAATTAAATAATAAAATAGCCCATAGTATAAATAATACATTCAAACTATTAATTTAAACTAAAAAAAAATGAATATGCTCATTTAATAAATAAAACTTATTCATTTTACTTATTGTTTTGAATTTTTATTGTAAAATTTTTCTAATAATAATGCATGCACGTACAAATCTCTAACCATTTTGCAACATTTTATATATCATATATAGTTTCTCTAGGACTATAGGGCCATAGGGGAGATCCTCAAAAAAAAAAAAAAAAAAAAACACAATGTAATATATATTCTTCTCTCTCTCTCATATATATATATATATATATATATATATATTCTTGTACACACATGTATAGATGCATGTTCATTAAATTTATATATATTTTTGATTGAGCAGAGAAACTCGCAGCCACTATATATATGAGGGTACGCACTGGATAAATTTATTTTTGTGTAATAGCTTGCAAACTACATAGGAGAGATAATCATATTAGGATCGAAGAGCATGTGTGACAGTCTCGATTAAGAGAGTATTGACTAGAAAAATGTGAAAAAAATGAAAATAAGGTGATGATAATTAATATATAATTAAATTTTATAATTTGTATAGTGTAACATGCACTATCAAAACAATGAAAATAAGGTGATAATAAAATGATATGAAATGCTCTAAAAAAAATGATATAAAATAGTATAAATTTTCATAATACACATACATATAGTCTACAATATTTAGATCGATTAACTTATCAAATTAAATAAATAATCACGAATTCAAAACTTTCACACACAATAAAAATTACCCGGTGCAAAAACCAACATCATCATCAGAAATATTGTGACAAATAACTTCAAGGAGGGTGACATATTGGCTCTATTTCTCTCTAAATTTTTTAAAAAATATTTTTGTTTTTGAGTTTTCTTCCTAGCTTATTGAGAGGTATAGAAATGAAGATGAAGTGGAAGTTTGGGGTATAGCCCTATATATAAGGGTGTGTTTGGAAAAGATTCCTTTCAACTTTACTTCACAACATGAGTTGCCATGCTTTTGTCCATTAAAGTGTATTCACAAATCAATGCCCATATAAGGCGCACCACGCTTTGTCCATTAAAAAAAAAAAAACAGTTTTATTAGTTGTATAAAATTAATTTCTTAATTATTCACAATATAAATTAAAATCGTAATGAAATACTTAATAATTGTAATGATTTAGTAAAAGTGATATCTTATTTTAAAGTAACTAGAAATAATTGTAATCAAAATAATTAATTAATTATAAAAAAAATAAATAAATACATAATACATGCATATACATACGCATACATATATGTCATATACATTTTTAAATTGGTAGGAGGGAGACACTCAACAGCAACACTAATTGCTTTCTGATCTAATATTAGTTTAATCATAAAAGTGTTGATGAGTCTCAAAACTAAATTAGTGCAATATATTTTTTCAAGTTTCAAGATTAGCTCAATTTACTTTTTTATTAACTTCAAACAAGTTTATGGGTCCAGAATATAGTCGGGCAAAAATATGAAAATTCTGTGTTATAAAAAAAATTAATATATTGTAAAAAGAAATTAATATATAAACAACCGTTTTGGATTAAATTAAAGAATTCGAAAGCATTTGTCACTTTAATGTTTTTGGTTAAAGGAGGTGTGAAAATAGGGAAATTGGTGGCAATTACTTACTTTACAACTACGCACGTATCTTTGAGCTCTCTAGTGCGTGCCATACATGTAAAGCAACATGAGATGCCACCCTATATTGGATTATAATAATAATAATAATAATAATAATAATAATAATAATAATAATAATAATAATAATAATAATAATAATAATAATAATAATTGTTATTATTATTATTATTATTATTATTATTATTATTATTATTATAAAATGTTTTACAACTAAATATTATTTTTTTAAAGCTTGATTAGCCTGGCGAGGTACTCAAGTTGAATATTAACAAGTTCAAATTTGACTCGACTAGCTTGTTATTTGAACTAATCAAATCCGAACTTAGTTTAACAGTAAACGAATCAAATTTGAACATTCATCAAATCGAACTTGGGTAGCTCACAAATAGTTTAACTTTCTTACACTTATACACTCTACACAATCCCCAAAGCATTTTGGGTTGTACCCGAGCACACTATTAGCTTCATATTGTCCACGTGTCATCATCGCTGAATACCAAAGGAATAGTTGGTATGAGCACATAGAGTGATGGAGGTGGTGGGTTCCTAGTATATAGGAGTTCAGTAGAGTCGAGTTCAAATAAACAAAACTCAAAGTTCCGATCGACTCGATTAAAAAATCGAGTTCAAATTCTAATTCTTTGAAATCGTGCTCGACTTGTTACAAGTTCAAGCTATTCGTGCTTGACTCGAATAGAGTTAATATAATAAAGATTATTTTTAAATTTTTTACACAAAAATTATAAAAATAAGCATTTTATAACCAAATACCATTAAATATTCAATATTACATATTGATTATAGTCATTTTATAATATATATAAATATAAAAAAATTAGTTAAATATGTAATATTATATTTATATCATATATAAAATATATGAAAAAAGTTCAATTAGCTAGGCTCACAAGATGTTTGAGATGAGTATTAAGGTGTTTGAATTCTATTCAATTCATTACTTACTCAATATAATTATCTAAACTCGACTGGGTAGTAATTTAATCAAATTTAAATATTTGTGAAATTGAAATCAAATAGTTTAACTTACTTGCACATAAATGCTGATTTAACTCGATCTCTTAGATATATCTCACTTGAACTTGAAAATTGTTTGAACTGCACACTAGTGATGATTGAGCCATGTTATCCTAGATTATGGTATGATACTTATTTTACTTGAGTTGGTCCAAAAGCCTATAAGCCAAACATATACTATATACTATTAATCTGATCTATTTTATCATATTTATTTTATATACTAATTTAATAAACCGTTTATTTATTTTACCTTAAATTATCAAAGCCCACATGTGCAATGAATATAGTTCTTTAAATTTGCATTAAAGTTTATTTTACAAAAATAATTTGGAAGTGAAATACCAAGTGCAAATGGTTTTCCATTTTAGTCTTACTAAGATAGTCTGCAACCAAAGTATCACACAAAAACATTCTCATAATTTATACATAATATCTATTAATTGTTGGAATAAATATATATATACCTAGTTCAATATTATTCATTTTTTGATTGGTCATGTAAGTTTAGACCTGAAAATCCTTATCTAGAATAACTTTAGACAAAATAAATTATCCAGACATGTTTCAATGCTTGGATAATCGTTGCAGTCCATGAGATATAATGTATCACTTGGAATTAAGCATTATTATTGTATTTCAAAAGTTAAAAGTTATTCCAAAAAAAAAAAAAAAGGGGAATTGAAGTAACAATTATTAATATCTCTAATTTTTTATTTGTCATGTCAAAACAGAAAAATAATAAAATACTTCTCACATAGTATAGGCAAGTTTCATTATATTATTCATAACATTTATAAGGCATTCCTACATACCATTAAAATCTGAATAAGTATTTGAAGGCATGTAGGTCAGTTGAGAAAACATCCCATAATTTACTTTATCTATTATAGCCTCTAGGGTGGGAGTGAAAGAACCCCTAAGTTCAATTTTTGAACTTCAAACATATTAAAAGTGATTAAATTGATTAATATATGTTCACATACAAATTCTAAAACATAAGTATGAAATTGATTTTTTTAAAAAACATTTGGGGGAAAAGTGGAACCAAGGTATAATATTAAGGATGAGATTACAAAATTGGAAAATTTTAATTTGTGTGGAACATAGTTATGGTCTTGATGGTGACTTAGATCGATTAATAAAAAAATAAAATAAAATTATTTCTAGAAAGTCATATAAGCATGACTGAAGAGAATTTTTCAAATGTTCATTGAAGAAAAGGTTAGACTTTTACATTTTTATCTGACTTTTAAGCTTACTTGAAATAAAGGAGTAAAAGTACTCATTTTATAATAAAGTGACAGATATATTCTGACTCCTTTTCATTTGAAAATTACAATTTAATTATAATTATTATCATTAATAATTACATTGACAAGTGAGTAGTTATGAATTGATACTGCAGTGTAACAGAGTCAATAATACTCAAAAAAATTTATTACTATTATTAATAAATATTTTATACTAAATAAATATAATTACTAAAATTCTGATCACAAATATAACAATCAACAACGCGATTTATTTCTCCTGAATGATTTACATACTACTATAGAAGAGTAAGATTCATCAATGCATACCTTCAGATAGTAACTCTCAATCAAACATAATTGCAATGACTTACTAAGTTACTATTATAATCGCTCTTCAAGCACCCTTTTGAATCAATTTTATGATTTAAGCGATTTATTGTCTAAGGCTCTGTTTGGCAAACCTAGCTGAAAAGCTATAAGATAGGAGCTGAAAGCTGAAAAGGAGTTGAAAGCTGAAAAGCTATAAGATCGGAGTTGAAAACTGAAGAGCTGTTAAGCTAGTTGTTATGATTGAAAGTGTTTGGTAAAATTAGCTTTTTGATAAGCTGATAAATATAAAAAGACTAAAAATGGCATATTCATAAAATTTAAATTAGTTTGTTTTGAAATAAAACTATTAGCATAATTATGATCTAGCATCTCATAACAAAGTAGCAATATTGTTGCAAATATAATAATAATAATAATAATAATAATAATAATAATAATAATAATAATAATAATAATAATAATAATAATAATATTTGCGGTGAAAGTTGCAAGGAGAAGAGAAAATGATTTTAATTGGGAAAGGTAAATTATGTCATTTCTTTTAAATAATAAGGATAAATATGAAAAAAAAAAAAAAAAAAGTTAGGAAGCTAGGAGCTTATTTTGAAACGCTACCTAAGGTAGCGTTCTAAAATAAGCTCTTATTTTAAGCTAGGGACTTAATTTGAGAACATTACCAAACAAAGCTTATAGCTTATTAGTAGCTTATAATAAGCTATAAGCTCCTAAATCACTTTAACCGCTATCATTTTCAATTAGGAAAATACAAAGACACTGTTTGGTAAATGGATGTTAGCTGATTGGGTTAATTAGAGTGTATAACTAATTGATAACATTAGCTTATTGTAGAAAGGTGTTTAGTAAATTAGTTGTTAGTTGATAGCTGTTTGGTATAATTCCTTTTCTTAAAAAGCTAATTGAAAAAGTTACTTTGATCAGCTTTTTAAATTTTAACATTTTGGAGTTATAAAAAGCTAATTAATCAAACATTTATGTTTATTTTTAGTATAAATGTAAGTTCTTTGTCATTCCCAAAAATAAAAATTTTCAAACACACTACAATCATACTAAGTTAGGTGCATGTATGTTCAGACGGATACTACATTATAACAGAGTTAATAGTATTTAAAAAAAAAAAAAAAAAAACAAAACAAAACAAAATCAAACAAACAAACCTTAATCACATGTTAACTCAAAAGGGTGTCCCCACACGGCCACTTCAATCATTACATCGGCCAAAATAATGCTATCTTCATCACCGTCTCCATTTTCCGTCCATTGAACCTACCTACGCTAAAACCTCACCCATCAAACTATCAAACAACCTTACACGCATCAAATATATATTAAAACCAAAAATACAAAATTCCCTTTCCGGTGAATTTTGTATATTGAAGAAGGCTTTGATTCTGCGTTGGTATCTATCATTCAGTGGGAGTACATGGACTCCAAGTCACTGAGATTCATCAACCATCAATCCTTCTTCCTGGCCGCCCAATCGGGTGACCTCGACTCGCTCAAGCAACTCTTAGCAGCTCAGAGCAATGGGTCCGGGTCGGATTCCGACCCGACATCCCTCTTGGCCTTGCAGAACGATGCGGGGAAGACGGCGCTGTACGTCGCCGCGGAGAATAATTACGTCGAGGTGTTCGGGTTTCTGCTCGGGCTCTGTGATTTGCCGACGGTTAAGATCAGATGCAAAGCCGATTTGGATGCCTTCTCCGTCGCCGCCAGCCGCGGCCACTTAGGTAATTTTTTTTTTGGGGAGAACTGTTGCTTATTAGCTACGCAGATGCTTGTTCTTGTGGATTTTATTGATTGAATTTCTGTTTTGATTTTGTGATGAAGTTTGTGTTGTGATTTGACTATATTGAGCTGCTGAATGTTTACTGTTTTTATCAGAAGATTTGAATTTATGGGTATTGAAACTGGAGAGTGGATGATCTCAGATTGATTGTGAGCTGATCGAGCTAAGATCGGTCAAAGAATGGATCGATCTTAGCCTATTAATTGGCTTGCTCAAATATATCCCTAATTGACAATTGTTATACCATGGACATGGACCAAGGCTTGCCTTGCACTGTGGACCTGGTCCAAAATGACAATATATTGGGGTGTTAGCTAAATAACGGTTAGCTGATAGTTGTTAGTTGATTGGGTTAGTGAGTTTCACTAGTTGATAGCATTAGCTGATTGTAGAAAAGTGTTTGGTCAATTAGCTATTAGCTGATAACTGATTACATGCAAAATGACTTTCACAAAAAGCTTATTGAAAAAGCCACTTTGAGGAGCTTTTTGAATTTTAGCATTTTGGAGCAATAAGCTGTTACAAAAAGCTAATTAATCAAATACTTATATTGGCTATTTAACAAGTCAAACAACTAATAGTGGTCAAATAAGCTAAAATTGACTGATAAGGTAACTATGTTACCAAACATCATATTTAATATGTAGTTATTAATAAATTATGTACCAACAGTTAACACATTATGTGCGTTTAATCTATTTATTGGTACATAATCTGAATGTCGTTTTGGACCAAGGTACGCAATGGTATAATTTGCCCCTAATTGAAACATAACTAAATTTGGTCAAATTGACTTGGAAATTGTATGGTGGCAAAACCTTTGGAATGGAAAGTATTTCATACTAAAGTTGAGTGGTTGGAGAAAAAAAAAAAAAAAGAAGTATTGACAATATAACGAAGTCATAATAGTAGACAAGTCCTTTATTTGTTTTCAGCTCTTTTTCTCCTTTTGGTTGATGAAAGTTGAATGAGTGTGGAAAAATCACTTTTGTTTTTAAAGGGTTTACGTGCATGATAAAACACTGACTCTGTCATATCCAGGTATCGTCAAGGAGCTTTTATCAAAGTGGCCCGAGCTTTGTAAAGTATGCAACTCCTCGAACACAAGTCCTCTTTATTTGGCTGCTGCCCAAGGTCATCTAGATGTTGTAAATGCGATTCTAGATGCAGATGTGAGCTCCGCGAGGATTGTGAGGAAGAACGGGAAAACCGCTTTGCATAACGCTGCAAGGTATGGTCTCGTGCCGATTGTAAAAGCGCTTATTGAGAGAGATCCGGAGATTGTGGCGATCAAAGATAAGAAAGTGCAAACCGCACTCCATATGGCTGTTAAGGGTCATGATACGTCTGTGATCGAGGAAATATTGGATGCTGATCACTCGATACTGAATGAGCGGGACAAGAAGGGTAATACTGCTTTGCACATTGCCACGAGAAAAGTACGACCACAGGTAAGATTGACATACCTATATAGTCTTATATTGTCTTTTTTCTTTTTCTTGCATCATTGTGTATTTATTTGGTATAGCTTAGTATATCGAAATGTTCCAGAAATTATTTTTTCATTCATAGTATAAATAAGCTCTAGAGTTTTGTTCCTTTTCTTTCCTGATGGAAAAACTATAGAGCAAATACCAGTTTTGGTCCCACGAGTATTAACAAAATGACGGTTTTGGTCCACATGTTTAATTCCTACCAATTTTCATCTACGATTGTTATTTTAGTACCAATTTTCATCCACGATTATTGTTTTAGTGTCAAAAGTCATCATGCCGGTCACCCCTCCGTGTAAGATGTGTCGAAATCTAAAAATTTTAAGGGTATTTTCGTCCTTTTCAACTTAAGATCCCAATTTGAACATCAATAAAGAGATTTAAGTTTTAAGATCGATCCCAATTCCCAATTCTCCTCAAGTCCTCGTCATCCTACCTTAATTTGAGGAGGAGAACTGTGAATTGCGATTGATCTTAGGGCTTAAATTCCTTTATTTATGCTCAAATTGGGATCTTAATTTGAAAAGACGAAAATACCCTTCATAATTTCATATTTCGGCATGTCTTAAACGAAGGGGTGATCGGCGTGATGAATTTTGGCAATAATACAATAGTCGGGGATGAAAATTGGTAGGAATTAAACATGTGGATCAAAATTGTCATTTTGCTAATACTCGTGGGACCAAAATTAGTATTTGCTCAAAAACTATACTATCTTACTTTAAACGCATATATGACGCTTTTTTTAGTTTATATACACGAAAGTGAATTGTTTGATGTGTCTTAGTACAATGAGCTTTTACGTACTTTCTAAAGCATCTTAAGTTACCCTAAACCTTTCTCTTCTCAGATTGTGAACGTGCTGCTGACTTACACCTCGATAAATGTCAATGCTATCAATTATCAAAACGAGACCGCAATGGATTTGGCGGATAAACTCCAATATGGAGATTCCGCTTTCGCAATTAAGGAAGCTTTGGTGGAGGCCGGTGCAAAGCATGCCAGATATGTTGGCCAAGTTGACGAAGCGATGGAACTCAAGAGGACCGTGAGTGACATCAAGCATGAAGTCCAGTCTCAACTTATACAAAACGAGAAAACCCGAAGGCGTGTTTCTGGCATTGCCAAAGAGCTCAAGAAGATTCACCGAGAAGCGGTTCAGAATACGATCAATTCCGTTACTGTTGTGGCGGTTTTGTTTGCTTCCATAGCTTTCTTGGCTATATTTAACATGCCCGGCCAGTATCAAACCGACGGTTCAGATGCTGGGAAAGCCAACATTGCTGATACCGTTGCTGATACCGCTGCTTTCCGTGTCTTTTGCCTATTGAATGCCACCTCGCTCTTCATATCCCTAGCGGTGGTCGTCGTTCAGATCACCCTCGTTGCGTGGGACACCCGGGCTCAGAAGCAAGTTGTTTCGGTTGTGAACAAGTTAATGTGGGCGGCTGGTATTAGCACTTGCGGAGCATTTCTAGCCGTCGGATTTGTAGTCGTGGGGAAGCAAGGTATCTGGATGGCCATTACTATCACTGCCCTGGGCGCGCCTATTCTCATCGGGACACTCGTTAGCTTGTGCTACTTTGTCTTCCGCCAGCATTTTGGAATAGGTAGTGATTCTCAAAGGCGGATAAAAAGGGCGAGCGGGAGCAAATCTTTCTCGTGGTCTTATTCCACGCATATATCCGATTTGGACGACTACAACTCCGATGAGAAGATCTATGCTCTGTGAGATAGTTTTAGGTGAAAATATCAGCATTTAACTCTGTAGAATACCACACTTTTCCTGTTCCCAGAGCCCAAGCTTTTTACCACATTTTCCTATTAGAGCTATGGGATTGGTGGTTTGGTGCTTGGTTGTTTTACACAGGTGTTAGAGCTGTGGGATTTGTGTTTCAAATGCCATGAAGAGAGAATGTACTTTATGATCACAAAGCTGGCCTGATAGTGTAAAAATATGTATATAGCACTGTATTACAACTCTTCTCAAATCTATAAAATTTTTGTACTTTTTAGAGTATTGAGTATTGCATTGTAATCTGCCTACTACCTGTTCCAAATCACTAGATTATGAAGAGAACTATATGAGAAAGATAATGTGAGAAAGAAAAACACATAATAAACTTTCTATGCCCTATAAAATTCCTTATACTACAAAGTCTCTTAAGAGAAGAAACATGACTCCTTGGCACCTAAAATACCACACCAAAATCCTCACTATTGAAGATGTCCTAATAATGCTTATGTACCCGTGACTCAGTGGGCTGTCAGGATGGATATATCTTTTTGAGATAAAATATGTCTTTCAGATATAAGATTTATTTTTGACTCATTAATCTTTTCCCTTTCCGTTGTGTTGGATTCCACTCAAGTTGCCTTCCTTCATCCTTCTTCATTCTCATGAGAACTGTAAATTCATCACTGAGTCTTAATCAGAGACGGTGTCACTTTTTGTAGAGTAATCAACACAATCCTGCCTATTCATTCCAAGAATTCTCCTTTTTATTTGCATTTTATTAAAATAGATTTAAACTTCACTTAAATTTCATATTCATTTCAATTGAATAATAGTTCAATTTAACCTAGCAATTTGAAAAGGGGTTGGCAAGTCGTTAGTTTAACTATAAGATTAGACTATTGACTCTTACTTTAGTTGTAAGATCATATTATTGACTCTTGTACGGCTTCTCCAACAAGGTTTTTTTTTTTTTTTTTTTGAGTGAAGAGAGGATAGGAGAAAAGAGGGAGTTTTTTGTTTTCTTGAATTTTTGAGTGGAGAGGGAAGAGAGGATAGTAGAGTAGAGGGAGGGTATGTTGTAGTAATTAATTTTTTTTTCTAACTTTGTGGGTCTCATCGGAAAAAGGTAAAAGAAAAAACTTATGTTTTCCAGAATCTAAAATAGTAAAATCCGAATGCAAGAAATGGATAAGATGGAAGGATGATCCAACAGGCCATTATACATATGAATAGTGTACACAATAATACTTGTTACATGGAATTATCAATAATATAAACTTACAGATATCCTAACATCTACCTATTGCCCATATGGTTTTCAATAAAAAACAACATTACCATATGAGCATTGTTCACTAAAAACATGAAAGAATAGCTTGGGAACACCCCCAAGGCTAGTTTCAGTACCCGATTCCTTCCATTCCAGCATATTAATATCGCAATGGTCAAAAAGATGAACGAACTACTAGGATATACCGCCAATTTACAAGTTATAATAATAGAACACAACTGGGCTTTCCCGAAAGCATTACATTGCTGTATAAATTTGACATCAATTTGGAGTGGTAGCCAAAATAATCAAAGCTGCAACTGTCCAGGGCCCTTACGAGATGACCTCGAAGGAGGTCTACTCAAGTCTTGGGCTTGGTTAGGTTTGGAATCTTCGGGTCTTTGTACCTCCTGAACAGGGAACTGCTCAAAGAATTAGAATGCAAAATCGACATGAACTCTATTTTTGGAGCTTGTTAATAGTCAAATAAAACCACAAGTTTGATGTTAACAAACCCATAAATTATGCTAGGTAGATTGATGAAGTAAACACCTTAAGGCCCTGTTTGGTAAATGGTTGTTAGCTGTTAACTGATTGGGTTAATTAGAGGGTATAACTAGTTGATAACATTAGCTGATGGTATAACTAGTTGATAACATTAGCTGATTGTAGAAAGGTGTTTGGTAAATTAGCTGTTAGCAGATAGCTGTTTGGTATAATTTTTTTTTCTCAAAAAGCTAATTTAAGAAGTTGCTTTGAGTAGCTTTCTGAATTTTAGCATTTTGGAGTACAAAAAGCTAATTAATTAAACACTTATATTGATTTTTAAACCAAGTCAAACAACTAATAGTGATCAAATAAGTCAAAATTGGCCTATAAGCCAACTCTTTTACCAAACAGGGCCTAAGTGCAAGTATCGAAATTAAATAGCACTAACAAAGATGGCAAACCTTTGTTGATGACATGGAGTTATGGGACAAATGAGCTTGAGACTTAGAATGTACACGACGCTGCTGCTGGATCTGAACAAACTGCTGCAGCCTTGAAGAGAAGTTTATTGCGTTGTGCATATCATGAGAATCTTCGCTTGTGTCGCCATCATCTGAAATGTGTGATCCGCCCCTCAAATAACTTATTTGAGAATAAGGATTCCCAGATGCTGTTCTCCTTAAGTGTTCCCCATTAAAGGAGTATTTGGGTACAGTTTTCAACCTAGTCCGAAGAACTTTAAAGGCAGCACTTTGCTGAAGAAATGGGATAAAAAGGAACCAAGAAGGTTAGACTCTATACAGAAATTTCAATTGGTAAACTGTCAATATTTTCGGTACTTGACATCATGATGCACAACATACCTGAGGTAGCAGCATAAGCAAACCATATAAGGCTTTCAATAACCAGATGTATCTTCCAGGTTCAAGAAGCTGAAACGAAGAAGTAATAAAATAGATGTTAGGATTTAGGAAAATGCACAAGCGAAACATTTACATATAAAGCAAGTAGACATTATATCTCGAGGAAAAAAGTAAGACACCTGCAGCCTCAAATAAGCAAAGGTAGGAGTCTCCAGGAGGTTGATTAATTTGTCTAGTTGGACCAAGAACTTCACGTTCACATCCTCCTCAACCAGAGATTGAATAACGGAACTAGCATGCTGGTATGCCTGCAATGCGTTTCCATAAAACAAAGGCACAAGGACAAACATTGTTATTCAATGAAGCACATGAAGGGAAAGGACGAGTGTGAGCAGGGGGAACAGATTCCTACTTGTGCTAGAAAGCAGAGGCTTATTACGGCCATAGGAGAATGGCACCATGAAGCATATAAAGAAAGAAACAAGTCCTTTCCATCAGTATTGACTAGTGATTGTTTCAGGAGGTCACGGAGATCAGACAACTCAGATGAAGTGAGCAAAATCAGGTTCAAGGCCTGAAACAGAGAGAGAACCACAAGACTACATAAATGGCAAAAAAGGGTATTCACATTTCACAGACTTTATAGCATTTCAAAACTGTCCTCTCTTAAAATTATCAATGCGAGAGTTAGTAAAAAACCTGAACCATCACTGATGCGAAATCCAAATCTGACTCCCCTTCGAGTATGGTAGAAAGTTCCCTATAAACTCTCTCTGCATCCAGAAGCACACAGAGCCTCCGAACTATCAATGCACCACGTCTGAAAGGAAATTTTTTTAAGTAACATTCCAATCCCAGAATGGAAAGATCGAGAGCAACAAAGATAAAATATTGCACTGCTGAAGTATTGAAAACTTACTTCTCCAAGAGAGAATTGTCGACTCGGAAACTGTGAACCAAGAAAACAATAAGCTGACGGAAGTGTTGCTTTTCCTTAGCTATGCATGCATGCACCTCAAGTACCAGAAGCACTACCTACGAAGAAATGAAAACAATAAAGTATTTTAACAGAATCATTATTTAAATTCTGCTCAAAAAACATTTATCCAGTAGATAGCAAATGTTTAAATCCTTTGTTTGCCTTCTCAGTACCTCAAAATTCAAGGGACACATGAGACAGATTTTTTAGTTAAAATGTTTTGTAAATACAAATGAGCCAGGACAGTTTACAAGATTATCTCTATTGCTTTCAGCCTTTCACATGCCAGGATTGTTTGAAAACTAAAACTAGAATATTTACAATTTCATCAGAAATACAAGAACACATCAGCAACTTGACAAAATTATTGGGACTTAAATGGAAAATGAAGCAGTAGAAGATACCTCATCAGATGGATCTGAAAGAGCCTTCAGAAGAGTGTCAAAAACATCATTCAGAAAAACCAAGACCTGTAACAAAAATAAGCATACAGAGTGAATACTAGATGCAAGGTTGCAGTGTCATAGAAAGTAAAGAATAGGAAACCATGATAACCGACAGAAAACAGGAATTTTTATAATGAATGAGAAGTATATGTAGCAATACCAAAACCCACAAATGATGCAGCAGAAGTTCAAAAGCAGACACTGAACTAAAATCAAGGTACTTCGAAAATCGTCATTCTATAACAAGGAAAGGCTTATCATAATGTAAATTATTACAGGAATGACACTAGTTGGAAATCTTGAATATATCACATCAGGCTTCATAAAGTGTGCTGAAAACATAAACTAGTACACAAATTAATGTTTCATTACCTCATTGCGATGTCTATTTAGCAAGGTGAACATCCAGTGCAATGCTTCAATCCGTGTTGCCTCAAACTCACTAGACAACTGCCTGGTATAGAGATTCAAACCAAAAGTTACCATGTGTGAACACCATATGCAATAATCTCAAGAACCATAACACAGGCCTTAATAACCTTACACCCAAGCAATCAACTCAGTAAAGCATCAATACCTCCTAGAAATAGTGAGGATTGCTTCAACATCAAATCCCTCAGCAGGATCAGCTTTGATAGATTGAAGTTCATCATTTGTCTCACGAGCAACCTAGAAAGTGGAGGAACGAGAAAAACAAGGGAAATGGAGAATAAATAAAAAGGACTTGTGTGATGAGAAGAAAGCATTATAAGGACTACTAGAAAATTGTACCAAGAAAAAAGTTAGAACAGATTAACTTACAACTCTTATTTTCTCTTCTTTATCAGCAATACAAGGCAAAATTGCTCCCAAAATATCAGCATAATAAGGAACCAATTGATCCCCACCAAGTTTTACTAACTCATTTATCTGAAGAGAAAAGGTTTTGTGAAACAAATATACGCAAGGTAACAAAATAATTAAGGTGTTGTTGCAATTGAAAAATAGGCAGAAGTCGGGATGCATGTAAAGACATAATTACAAGCAACTGCGCATAAATCAATATCTTTACCCATGTGATAGCAGTCAGCCGAGTAAATTCATCAGGTGAGCCAGCTCTCTGTACCAATATCTCAGCCATTCGACCGTAATCTACAGACTTGAAGAGAATTTGGGTCAGAACATGAAATAGATTACCATTGAAAATTGCCTCTTAAGTCAAAATACTAAAACTTTAAAATATTTATCCCTAC